GAGTAAAGTTAGCCGCAGGCATACATGTCTGCTGGGTCGGGCCCTTAATTTGTAGAGTAATTTTTGTAAAGTAGTTCATAAAGACAATCTGATCTACCAGCAAAATGAGTTTTTTGCCTTTCTTTAATCATTTTTTTTTGGGGGGAAAGAGGTTGGGAGGGAGGTTTGAATGTGGTGTGTGTGTGTGTATATACATATTTTTTACTTTGCACTTTTCTCACACTATCTTACCTTATTGAAAGTGAAAGGCAGCTTGGGTGAAAGTGATCATGAAATGGTAGAGTTCATGATTCTAAGGAATGGTAGGAGGGAGAACAGCAAAATAAAGACAATGGATTTTAAGAAGGCAGACTTTAGCAAACTCATGGAGTTAGTAGGTAAGATCCCATGGGAAGCAAGTCTAAGGGGAAAAACAATTGAAGACAGCTGGCAGTTTTTCAAAGAGACATTATTAAGGGCACAAGAGCAAACTATCCCACTGCATAGGAAAGATAGGAAATATGGCAAGACACCACCCTGGCTTAACCAGGAGAACTTCAATTATCTAAAAATCAAAAAAGATACTTACAAAAAGTGGAAACTAAGTCAAATTACAAAGGATGAATGTAAACAAATAACACAAGTATGTAGGGACAAAATTAGAAAGGCTAAGGCACAAAACGAGATCAAACTAGCTGGACACAAAAGGGTAACAAGAAAACATTCAACCAGTATATTAGAAGCAAGAGGAAGACCAAGGACAGGATAGGACTGTTATTCAATGAGGGGGGAAAACAATAACAGAAGATGTGGAAATGGCAGAGGTGCTTAATGACTTCTTGGTTTCAGTTTTCACCAAGAAGGTTGGTGGTGACTGGACGTCTAACATAGTGAATGCCAGTGAAAATGAGGTAGGATCAGAGATTAAAATAGGGAAAGAACAAGGTACAAATTACATAGACAAGTTAGATGTCTTCAAATCACCAGGGCCTGATGAAATGCAACCTAGAATACTCAAGGAGCTGACTGAGGAGATATCTGAGCCATTAGCGATTATCTTTGAAAAGTCATGGAAGACAGGAGAGATTCCAGAAGACTGGAAAAGGGCAAATATAGTGCCAATCTATAAAAAGGGAAATAAGGACAACCTGGGGAATTACAGACCAGTCATCTTAACTTCTGTACCTTGAAAGATTATGGAGCACATAATTAAGCAATCAATTTGCAAACATCTAGAAGATAATAAGGTGATAAGTAACAGTCAGCATGTATTTGTAAAGAACAAATCATGTCAAACCAACCTGATAGCTTTCTTTCACACGGTAACAAGGCTTGTGGATGGGGGGAAACGGTAGATGTGGTATATCTTGACTTTAGTAAAGCTTTTGATATGGTCTCGCATGACCTTCTCATAAACAAACTAGGGAAATGCAACCTAAATGGAGCTGCTATAAGGTGGGTGCATAACTGGTTGGAAAACCATTCCCAGAGAGTAATCATCAGTGGTTCACTGTCATGCTGAAAGGGCATAACGAGTGGGGTCCCACAGGGATCAGTTCTGGGTCCAGGTCTGTTCAATATCTTCAATGATTTAGATAATGGCATAGAGAGTACACTTATAAAGTTTGTGGACAATACCAAGCTGGGAGGGGTTGCAAGTGCTTTGGAGGATAGGATTAAAATTCAAAATGATCTGGACAAACTGGAGAAATGGTTTAAAGTAAACAGGATGAAATTCAATAAGGACAAATGCAAAGTACTCCACTAAGGAAGGAGCAATAAGTTGCACACATACAAAATGGGAAATGAAGGAGTACTGCGGAAGAGGATCTGGGGATCATAGTAGATCACAAGCTAAATATAAGTCAACAGGTCAGCACTGTTGCAAAAGAAGTGAACATCATTCTGGGATGTATTAGCAGGAGTATTGTAAGCAAGACACGAGAAATAATTCTTCCGCTCTACTCCACGCTAATTAGGCCTCAGATGGAGTATTGTGTCCAGTTCCAGGTGCCACATTTCAGGAAAGATGTGGACAAATTGGAGAAAGTCCAGAAAAGAGCGACAAAAATGATTAAAGGTCTAGAAAACATGACCTATGAGGGAAGATTGAAAAAATTGGGTTTGTTTAGTCTGGAAAAGAGAAGACAGAGGGGACCATGATAACAGTTTTCAAGTACATAAAAGGTGTTACAAGGAGGAGGGGAAGAATTGTTCTTCTTAACCTCTGAGCATAGGACTAGAAGCAATGGTCTTAAATTGCAGCAAGGGAGGTTTAGTCTGGACATTAGGAAAAACTTCCTGTCAGGGTGGTTAAACACTGGAATAAATTGCCCAGGGAGGTTGTAGAATCACCATCATTGTCTAACCTGCTCTTAAAAATCTCCAAACACCTGTCAGGGATGGTCTAAATAATACTTAGTCGTGCCACGAGTGCAGGGGGCTGGACTAGATGACCTCTTGAGGTCCCTTCCAGTCCTATGATTCTACGTTGTGACCAAAAGGGCTAATGCATAACCAGGGGAATCTCAAGTAGGAGTAAAGAGGTTATTTTTTACCTCTGTATTTAGCGCTGGTGCGACCACTGCTGGAATGTGTCCTGCTTTGGCATCCACAGTTCAAGAAGGATGTTTATCAGTTGGAGAGGGTTCAAAGAAGAGTCACAAGAATGATAAAAGGATTAGAAAACATGCCTTATACTGATTGAGCTCCTTGAGTCTATCTATTTAGCTTAGAAAAGAGAAGGTGAAGGGATGACTTGATCACAGTCTATAAGTACTCACATGGGGAACAAATATTGAATAATGGGCTCTTCAATATGGCAGAGAAAGGTCGAACATGACCCAGTGGCTGGAATTTGAAGCTACACAAATTCAGACCAGATATAAGGCATACATTTTTAATGAATAAGGAATTAACCATTGGAACAGTTTACCAAAGATCGTGGTGGATTTTCCATCACTGACAATTTTTATAGCAAGATTGGATGTTTTTCTAAAAGATATACTTTAGGAATTATTTTGGTGAAGTTCTATGGCCTGTGATATACAGGAGCTTATACTAGATGACCATAATTATCCCCTTCTGGCCTTAGAATCTATGAATAAGGCTATGATTTTTTTACTTCTGCCTGAGATGCCTGGGAGCTGCAGGGTACCCTGCCACGCAGCGGGAGACCCCCGGAGCTGGCGGGGACCCCCCGGCACTCCCAGCAGCCCCTGCAGCTGAGCTTCCCAATTTGTCATAGATATTTTTAGTAAAAGTCACAGACAGGTCACAGGCTTCCATGAATTTTTCTTCACTACCGGTGACCTGTCTATGACTTTTACTAAAAATATCGGAGACAAAATCTTAGCCTTATCTATGAATCTATGACTCCACCAGCTATGGGCAACGCAAGCATTCCCTTCTCAGCCTATGCAGGCTTTGCTATCCTTCTGCAGGTTAGCAATAGGCACACTCCAACCCCGAGCCCTCCAAACATCTCCCTGTAGTACCCAGCCCCTGGTCCACTGGACACTCTCAGTATCACAGATACACTATTCCCAAAGGAATAGTACACCTCAGTTTACCAGGTACACCTCAGGATCACTGCTCTGCCTAACTTACAGCTCTTAGATTTGTTTACAGTAAAAACAAGTTTATTTAGCCAAGAAAAGAGCTTCAAGTAATAGCAAGTAGGTAGAAGTACTTGAGACAATTGGTTACATCTAACACAAAATAATAGATCTTAAACTAATTTTGATGGAATATATGGGCTAAAAAGGTGTTAACATAACCCAGTCACTGTCCAACATTAAACAACTGGAAATGAGGTTCTGGGTTTCTCATGCAGAAACCTCAGCCTGCTTAGTATCATGACAAGAATACCATTAAACAGTGCTTTAATCTTTTAATAAAGATACAGAAAAGAAGGGAAAACAATTAAAGCCTTTGAAATGTAAAGTATTAAGTAAGGCTTTCATTTTAACATTTTTTGTTCTCTTTCCCTTTAGCAGGAGAGAGTTTTCAAAAGCAAAACCCCTTTGACAGTCTCCGAGATGCTACCAAAGGTGGTGGTAACTCCTGTTCTGGGTAAAAGAGAAGTGAGCTGAGACGGGCTGAAGCTGGCTTCTTTGGATCTGAGCCAGGTGGATCCTTAGGCTCAGCTCCTGCTAAGTAGGTCACTGCTTTATGAATCAAGTGTGGTCCTTTTGCCTCTTCTGCAGGGGATCAGTGCCTGAAGCAAGTCTCCTGGAATGCTCCATGCTCAGAGACTCTGTTCAGGGATTTTTGGCTGCAAGACCCCCTTGCAGGAACATTGCCTGCAGCTAGTTCTGGAGCTCTTTCCTAGCCCATGGTGTTAAGGTCCTGCACATGCAGCAGACAAGTGCCCTTCTATGGGGCAAGCTTAACATATCCCCAACTTCAGATGCCCATGTGGAGAACAGCGGGAACAAGAGGTGCAAGTCTCTTGGAGGTCTGATCCTCTATATCAGACCCAAGGACTCATGACAAAGCACAAAGAGCCACACAGGCGCCAAAATGTACTTAAAAATCAGAATTTGGAGCAAATAAACTAGAACCAACTAGAATTGACTAAAACAAACAAAAGACTAAGAATAAAAAAGCCCTGGGAACAAAGTTCCAAAAGCCCAGGTCAAGAAAGCTGAGTGAGGTTCCACATCAGCTCGCTATTGCGATTGGAAGTAAATGAAATATATGATACACCTTGGCCCTGTTTCTATTCTAACTCTTTGAGCATTCTGAGCCGCAAGGGCGGGGAAAGGGGACACACAAGGATGCTCCAACAAGCACTGCTTTCTAGACATTTACACCTATCCCCACTGCACAGTTGGTGCATCCCACAAATGGAAACATACAGAGGACGCTCAAAGAAAAACTTGTGTTTTCCACTCTAATACATTTGACCCACCTGCTTTCAGATGCTGTGACCCCACTCCTCCACTCTGGCTCCTCCCTGACTGAATTCCAAGCTTCCAATTTCCCTATAATATGAAGGGAACTCCATCCTTACTCACCTGCCTTTGGTATTGTTCCTCTATGACCTGCGACTTGGACAGGGGTGACTTCACACAATCTTGCACAATCCTTTGCAAGTGACTTAGCTGCTGGTCTTTGTCTGCCAAGGCCATCACGTACTGCTCTTTTGCCCTCTTGTTTTGCATCTCCCATGTGGTCTTCTCCTGTCTGCAAAGCAACATATAGTCGACATTATAGAGGGCACTTCCTACAGTATGTCCTGCGTAGTCACCTGCTGTACTCAGGAAGCCCAGCACAGGCCTAGCAGGGGAACAGTCATTACTCCCCGCAGTTAACCTATGCCAGGAGAGTTTCTTTGCAACAAGACACTGCTGCTTAGAGACAGAGATACCCAACTCACACAGTTGAGGACTTAAACAGAGCAGGGTTCAGGAAGCCATTTTGCAGTTGGCTTGGGGGCTGCAGCATGTTCACTGCTACACACTTACAGTACCCCTGGACAATATGTTTTCCTTTGTCTTCAGACAGTTTGGACTAGACTGTGATAAACAACTTGTGTCAGTCTGCAAGGCAGGGATGAAAGGTAAATCACTTAGTCTTCTCACTGGCTGGTTAATTTTAGCTCTGTGGGGCAGGACAGACTGCTGTATGAATATTTATGGACTGCATTTGTTAAGGGTGACAGCAGCATGGGTTGGATATCAAACTAATAAAATAAAGAATAACTCACTCATCAGTAAGGATGGCTTCTGCAGTAACACAAATTAGGTTAACATCTAAGGGGCCTCAGAGAAGAAGCTGGTCACCAGGTGGGGAGGGAGAAATTTGGTCCCACGTTCTAGTACTGCATAAATTAGGTATAATATTGGATGGGGGCAGTTATACATTCCTCTGCAATATGCAATACTAGCCACCGCTGGAGGCAAGAAACAAAATTAGAAGAGCCATTGGCTTATTCCAGAATGAGAGTTTCATATAACCACCTGACCTCATCCTCCAGCCATCCGCTCTATTCCCAATGGGACCCCCCAAATCTTGCATTAAGGAGATTTTTTGCCCCCCTAGACCAGTATGCAGAAGGGCTGTTCTCACCTGAGCTGGTGGAGCTCCTGTTGGCAGGAAATGCTGTCCTGCCTCAATTGTTCTTGGAGACAATGCTGTTTATCAGCCTCTTGCTGATACTCCTGCAGTCGAGCCTTTAAGTGAGAGATCTCAGCTGTTTCCATGCCAATCTGCAGGTACTGCTGCTGCAGATTCTTCAGCTCTGTCAGCTTTAATCAAAGGAAAACAGCAGAATGACAAATCCTGTAACTGATGCTGAATAGACAGGCAAAGTTTTTTAAATTATTTACAGAAATTCCTAAGGTGCTCTTCACTATGGTATCTGGAGAAGGTGGTCACATCCGGCAGGCAGGCAGGGCTTATGGAGTGAACCATCACTTACTAGACAAGTCCTGCTAAAAGCAGCTCAGAACAGCATCAGCGCTGGTGAACTGGCCAATCTTGATTTAAAAATTGCCAGAAGCAAAGAACCCAGCACAGTCCTTAGTAAGTTGTTCTAATAGCTAATTACCCTCACTGTTAAAATTTACACCTTATTTCCAGTCTGAATTTGTCTAGCTTCAACTTCCAACCAATGGATCTTGGTGCATCTTTGCTAAATTGAAGAGTCCATTATCAAATATTTGTTCCCCATGTAAATAAACTGTGATCGTCACCTCTTAACCTTCTCTTCACTAAGCTAAAGGACCTGATACCCTTGAGTTTATCACTATAAAGCATGTTGTGAAAGGGTCAGGCGAGACAGCCACGGGAGAGTGCTACAGGAAGTCATAGCGCAGGAGCAGGTGATGATGGCGTTGCACCACCAGGGAGCTGAGCTCCAAGCTGGCCACAATGTAGTGACTGGGCGTCTCCTGGAAGTTGCTGTTGTAGCTGAAGACGCATTTCTGCAAACTGTTCAGGGTCATGAGGCTGACCTGTTCAAACATGTCCAGGGATGCAGAGCCTGACACCACCAGCCGGCGCCACTTGGCATGCATGATGTCAGTGCTCTGAGTCCCTTTTCCCTTGGTAACTGAACAGAGGTTACTCTAGGTTAATTAGGACACCAGAGGCCAATCAAGGGCCTGCCAGAACCTGTTAAAAGCCTCCCCTCCAGGCAGATAGGCGCGCGTGATAGGAGGAAAGTGTGCTACTGGAGAGCTGGGTGGTGCAGATGCTGACAAGCACCAGGAGGGAAAACCCCACAGGTACAGAGGCGAAGGGCAGGGGAAACCCTACCCGACACGATGAACAGCCCTTCTGCACCCCAGAGCTCTGAGGGAAGAGACCTCGCTGGAGGGGAGAGACTGAACTGGGGGCCTGGTTTGTTGCCACGACGCCCGGAGGGGCTACCAGAGACCAAGAGGCTTCCCTCCCACTTCCCCGTCAGGGAGGCCGGGAGGAACCCTGCTCAGGCAAACATGGACAGCAAGCCCAGGGACATGGGGAAATTCTGAGGTAGAGAGGAATACACTGGCCCACCACTAAGTGGAAGCACAGAACTCACCGAGGCAGAGGAGCGCTGTCACAACGTTTTCCAAGACCATGTCTACACTAGCACTTATGAAAAAAAACCCCACCCCTAAGCGACATAAGTTTTGCCAGCATAAGCGCTCACGTGCACAGTGCTATGTGGGTGGGAGAAGCAAGTCTAAGTAGAAAAACAATTGAAGACAGTTGGCAGTTTTTCAAAGAGACATTATTAAGGGCACAAGAGCAAACTATCCCACTGCGTAGGAAAGTTAGGAAGTATGGCAAGAGACCACCTTGGCTTAACCAGGAAATCTTCAATGACCTAAAACTCTTTCTTGAGTCCTACAAAAAGTGGAAATTCGGTCAAATTACAAAGGATGAATATAAACAAATAACACAAGATGTAGGGACAAAATTAGAAAAGCCAAGGCACAAAAGAAGATCAAACTAGCTAGAGACATCAAAGGAAACAAGAAAACATTCTACAAATACCTTAGAAGCAAGGGGAAGACCAAGGACAGAGTAGGCCCATTACTCAATGAGGGGGGAAAGACAATAACAGAAAATGTGGAAATGGCAGAGGTGCTTAATGACTTCTTTGTTTCGGTTTTCACCAAGAAGGTTGGTGGCGATTGGACGTCTAACATAGTGAATGCCAGTGAAAATGAGGTAGGATCAGAGTCTAAAATAGGTAAAGAACAAGTCAAAAATTACTTAGACAAGTTAGATGTCTTCAAATCACCAGGGCCTGACGAAATGTATCCTAGAATACTTAAGGAGCTGACTGAAGAGATATCTGAGCCATTAGCAATTGTCTTTGAAAAGTCATGGAAGAAGGGAGAGATTCCAGAAGACTGGAAAAGGGCAACCCAGGGAATTACAGACCAGTCAGCTTAACTTCTGTACCTTGAAAGATAATGGAGCAAATAATTACGCAATCAATTTGCAAACACCTAGAAGATAATAAGGTGATAAATAACAATCAGCATAGATTTGTCAAGAATAAATCGTGTCAAACCAACCTGATAGCTTTCTTTGACAGGGTAACAAGCCTTGTGGATGGGGGGAAGTGGTAGAAGTGGTATATCTTGACTTTAGAAAGGCTTTTGATACGGTCTCGCATGACCTTCTCATAAACAAACTAGTGAAATACAACCTAGATGGAGCTACTATAAGGTGGATGCGTAACAGAGAGTAGTTATCAGTGGTTTACAGTCATGCTGGAAGGACATAACGAGTGAGGTCCTGCAGGGATCAGTTCTGGGTCCGGTTCTGTTCAATATCTTCATCAATGATTTAGATAATGGCATAGAGAGTACACTTATAAAGTCTGCAGACTATACCAAGGTGGAAGAGGTTGCAAGTGCTTTGGAGGATAGGATTAACATTGAAAATGATCTGGACAAACTGGAGAAATAGTCTGAAGTAAATAGGATGAAATTCAATAAGGACAAATGCAACGTACTCCACTTCGGAAGGAACAATCAGTTGCACACATACAAAATGGGAAATGACTGCCTAGGAAGGAGTACTGCAGAAAGGGATCTGAGGATCATATTGGATCGCATGCTAAATATGAGTCAACAGTGTAACACTCTTGCAAATAAAATAAAATAAAATAAAATAAAATCCTTCTGGGATGTATTAGCAGGAGTATTGTAAGCGAGACACGAGATGTAATTCTTCCGCTCTACGCCACACTGATTAGGCCTCAATCCGAGTATTGTCCAGTTCTGGGCGCCACATTTCAGGAAAGATGTGGACAAATTGGAGAAAATCCAGAGAAGAGCAACAAAAATGATTACAGGTCTAGAAAACATGGCCTATGAGGTAAGACTGAAAAAAATGGGTTTGTTTAGTCTGGAGAAAAGAAGACTGAGACGGGACATAACAGTTTTCAAGTACATAAAAGGTTGTTACAAAGAGGAGGGAGAAAAATATTTCTCCTTAACTTCTGAGGATAGGACAAGAAACAATGGGCTTAAATTGCAGCAAGGGTGATTTAGGTTGGACATTAGGAAAAACTTCCTGTCAGAGTGGTTAAGAACTGGAATAAATTGCCTAGGGAGGTTGTGGAATCTCCATCATTGGGGATTTTTAAGAGCAGGTTGGACAAACACCTGTCAGGGATGGTCTAGATAATACTTAGTCCTGCCTTGAGTGCAGGGGACTGGACTAGATGACCTATTGAGGTCCCTTCCAGTTATATGATTCTATATTCATAAGAAAACTATGAAAATGTGGTCTTCATGAAGTTAGTATAAAGTGAGTGGACAACTGATTGAAAAACTATACTCAAAGAGTACTTGACAACGGTCCCCAGTCAAACGAGAAGTACCTATCAAGTGAGTGGGGTCCCACATTGTTCTGTCCTGGGTCTTGTACTATTCAATATTTTCATTAACAACTTGGATGATGAAGAAGAGAGTACATTTACAAAATTTGCGGATGACATCAAGCTGACAGGGGTTGCAAACATTTTGGAGAACAGGATTAGAACTCAATCTAATCCAATCTTAATCGGAGAATTGGTCTGAAATCAATTATAAGAAGATGAAATTCAATAAAGATAATTACAAACTACTAGGCGCAGGAAGGGAAAAAAAAATCAAATGCACGACTGCAAAATGGGGGAAGAGAAGGTTACTCTCCTTGTACAGTAACTGAGGTTCTTTGAGATGGTTGTCCCGTTGGGTGCTCCACTTTAGGTGTCTGTGTGCCCTGCACCTGCCTTGTTGGGTTGTGCATGCGCCGTTACGGTCTCGCGCCTCTTGAGGCAGTTACATAGCATTGCGCAACCAAACGTCCCTTGGTTCCTTTTCTATCGCAGAGAATCCGTGTGAAAACTCCGAAGTAGAGGGGGATGAGGGAGGGTAGTGGAGCACCCATAGGGACAACCATCTTGAAGAACCCCAGTTACTGCACAAGGTGAGTAACTCTCTCTTCTTCTTTGAGGAGTGTCCCTGTGGGTGCTCCACTTTAGGTGCCTGTTGGGCAGTCTCTCTCTGTGGAAGGGAGGGATTCAGAGTTGTGTTATGGATGGTGGATAACACAGTGAGCCCAAAGCGAGCAGCTGATGCTGATTGTTGCTCTATAGCATAGTGTTTCATGAATGTGCGGGCTGATGCCCAGGTTGCTGCTCTGCAAATGTCAGTAATGGGTATGTTGTTGAGAAAAGCCACAGATGCTGCCTGTGCTCTGGTAGACAGTACTCCCACTGGGGCTTGTAGGTGACTCTTTTGGTAACAAAGGTAGATGCATCCCGATATCCATTTGGACAGTCTCTGTTTTGAGATTATTTGGGCTATTGAGCATTCTGTTATGGAGACAAATAGTCTCATGATTTCCTAAATGTTTTTGTTCTTTCAATGTAGAAAGTCAAAGTTCTGCCAACGTCCAATGTGTGAAGTGATGCCTCCCTTTCGCCTGCATATGTATTTTTGAAAAATACAGGTAAATGTGTTGGTTCAAATGAAAGGGGGAGGTGACTTTGGGTAGGAACTTGGGGTGTGGTCTTAAAGTAACTTTAAAGAACATTGTGTAAGGGGGATATGCCATTAGGGCACCTAGTTCTCCCACCTGGCTGGCGGATGTGATGGCGATGAGGAAGGCCACCTTCATAGATAGGTGGAGTAATGAGCATGTAACGAGGAGCTCAAATGGCTTTCCCAAGAGTCAGCGAAAGACGAGGTTGAGGTCTCACATGGATGGCAGGTTCCTTGTTGTGCTGTAAGTGTTCTCAATGCCTCTCAGT